AGTTACAATAATCTATACATGATATATACAATATCTTCAACTATCTCTACATATATTTGGGTTGTTACAAGTAGGATAGAGAGAATGATGGAAATTGTTAAATAGTGAACATATTAGGTATGATTTTGTGAATTACCCAAGAGAGGATTGAGAGGGATTGTGATATGTAGTGAGCTTGCCAGAGAGGGAGAACTATAATAAAGAGCGATATGCATGTTGGTGCATGAAAATATAGATTTTTATTATACTTAGGGATTGTATACCGTGAAACTACTTACTTTTGGTACAAGGAAGTCGTAATTACTTACAATTATCAAATATAAAATCTAATAGCTTGGGTGTATCACAAAGTTTAAGAATATTTCTTTTGAACTTTAAGCTTGGTCAACAAAATAAATGCAACCACCCAATTTCACAACCGATGATTAAGTTAATTGTGACCACCTTCTAACAAAGGTAAATGGTCTCATTGTATAATTTCCCTTTTATTTATATGTCAATTTATGCTACTAGTGCAACTAAATTACGTTGAAGTATCATTCTTAATTTAGGGTTTCTATTATATATTTCCAATTAAATTGTTAAGAAGTAAGGAGTTTACCTTAAGTTCTCCATTTGTAGGGTCTCATCCATATGTCCCTTACCCGAAAGGTCTCGTACCCCAAATAAGCCGGGTAGGCTTTTCTTGTCTTTTCGGTAAAATATTTTCTTTTCTCCTCCCCTCTCTTTCTTCTTTGAGATGAAAATTTTCTCTCTTTTTCTTTTTATGTATGTAAGATTATTTATTAATGTTTTTTAGTTAAGGAAAAATTTTATACTACATGCATTGCACATAGAATCTCTATGTAGGAATGGTGTCGATCTTCCTAAAAGGCCTCTTAACTTAAAAAATTTGTAAAAATTATAATAAATGTATGTACCATCCTATAATGTTCAAATATAAGACAATTTTACTATTTTAACTAATTTTACCTTATTACTTTAGAAAGTAGTGATGTTAATTACACTATAGTTCTACACAACTATTGAATAAGAAGAAAGATCATGAAAAGAAGAGTCAAAGAAAAAAGAAAATAGATAATATATTTGGAATAGACATCAATGAAATTTGATAGCACTAAAAATTCAGAGATTGAAAATTTAAAATTTATATAGAGCCGGCACTTTTCAATAAGTTTTGAAGCGAGGCGTTAATTTCTTCCATAAAGTTGAGGCCTTTTTTTAACCTTTTTCCGTTTTTTAAAGGGTTAAACTTCATCAAATCACAACTTTTAAAATGTAAAACCTAAGCCTTTTTTAATCTACATTCAATGAATAAAGTTATCACCTCATACGTAAAATAATGCACATTGACATATTCTGTGTTCTGTTTTACCATTTGTAGTGTTATAAGAGCATGCTAACTTTGTAGCTTACAATTATGTATGTTTTTGGGAGAGCTAAAAAGTGTTACAAGATTTGATAAAAAATATTTTGAATTATGGGCTAATCAATGGTATACTCCCACTATAATTTCACATATGACAGCGAGGGATCATGAGCTTCTTCACCAACTATGAAGATATTATGCCATTTAAAGAGACAGAGAGAGAGAGAGCCATTTAAACTTGTTATCGCTTTTGCAAGATGTTATTCCGTGAAAACTTGTTGTTTTTTGTTTTTTTTCTTCTTCTTTTTTACTAAATCATATAATTTTTTTTGTTTTTTTGGGTACCTCAGTAGGAAGATTTGCCCGTACATATTTTTTCAAAAGAAAATATCTCCATATCTCTTATTTTTAAGTTTTATATTTCAATAGACCCAAGGTTTCATAAAAATTCAAAGTATTATATATTTTAACTCCTTAAGCTAACTTTATCTCATTTGAACCTATTTTTTTGTCCCAAACAAATATAAAAAACATATGTCATTTCTAAATACCATCATTTCTCTCTGTTCAAGTAATTTTCCCCTAAATCTCTCTCTCTACTTATTTTCTTACTCTCTCCTCCCATATCTTTCACTCTCACTCTCTCTCTCTCTCCTCTGTTAGAGTGACAAAAAAGGTAAATGTTAAAGAGAGAAATTTGAGAGGAATATATCACGTAAGTAGATAAGGGTTTAGAATGAACATATCTTTTTTATATTTGTTATGGTAAAAAAAATAGTTAAAAATAAATAAAATTAGTCAGGGGTTTAGGAGATATATTTTGAACCTTTAGATCTATTGATATATGAAAACAAAAAATAAAAAGTACAAAGATATTTATCTTTTTTTCCAATAAATGAAGAGTTAACTTTTTCAAACTACTAGTGGGGTGATATTAGTAGTGGAAATGAAACCACAAGGGTATGGGTGTTACCACCACTATCTGTCCGATACCTAAAAGTGGTATGGTAGTGGGGATTTGAGTCCTACTGTTGTTGACAATGGAGTCAGATATATAATCATGGGACTTAATAATACTATTGCCAAAGCTTGATCCAACTGTTTAAAATTCAAAATGCACATTTTTTTTAAAAAAAATCAATTATTTTTATAATTATCATACGGTTCTTAGAGTTTTAGACTAAAAAATTCAACTAGCTAGTTATTTTAACTAAGAGAGTAGATGCGAACATAGATGCAAAGAACATATATTGGGTGCCAAGTTTGACATCGACGCAGAACCTCGGCCTTTAAACAGACGTCACTTAATAGTAATACTAATTTATACCGTGACTTTTACCGAGGCCATGGTATAAATTACTAAACTCTACCCTTCATATGCAAAACATTGAGCTAAAAGAACGGAACAATTTCCTGCTTCCCATTAAAGAAGAGGGCAATCCAGATAACTGTAAAAGCGGTTTACAAAATAATGAAACTTATATAAACTTAAATATGAAAATTAGTGAATAAATACCAAACGTGCCCGGATCAGACATGGAGTTTATTTAGAGAGAGAGAGGAGTTGAGAGGGAGAATCTGATGATAGCAAAGAGGAGGTTTGAGAGAGACTTTTAGCGGTGCGCTTTGTGGAGATTGTAAGGGAGACGCAGTAGCAGGAGCATCGTCTAGCTTGTGGTAAAGGTGAGGAGACTCATGCCCTAAATTCTTACAATCATCTTGGAACTTTAGTTTTCACAATCATCTTGTAATTTTTGGTTTTAGGGCTTCGGTAACTTATTGGAAGAAGTAGATGATGATGATATTGTGTGTTTTTTTAAAGTAATTTGGGGTTTCGTGCGATTTGGTTGATAGTTTTTGCTCTATATGCTTTTGTTGGAAATCCCTTTGTGTCATAAATATCTTTTTCCAATGATTGCTACTGGAAATCCTTAATCTATATGTAACCCTAAAACCTGTTTGTATTGGGGTTTTAATGGCCTTGGCATGTGATATTTAGGAGAGGAAATCAGTGACCTGTAACAAACTCTAGAAAATTGTTAGGGGTTTTAGTGGCTTTGTCTTAGGATATTTGGAGGAAATTGGTGACATGTAATAAATTCTAAAAGCTGTATTAGTTAGATTGGGGTTCTGATGACTTTGGCTTAAGAGATTTGGAGGAAATCAATGACCTGAACAAACCCTAAAAACTGTTTGGAATGAAGTTTTAATGGATTTGGCTTGAGAGACTACATGAAATCATTGGCAGCATGAAAACTGTTTGGATTGGGTTTTTAATGGCTTTGCCTAGAGATATTTACAGGAAATTAGTGACCTGCTAAAAAAAATTTAGCTTGGGTTTTAATGGCTCTGTCTAGAAAGTCTATACAGGAATTTGGGGTATCGGGATTGTGTTTCTATTTAAAAGATTTGGAGGGAAACAGTGACCTGTAGCGAACTGCAAAAACTGTTTGGATTGAGGTTTTCATGGCTTTGGCTTAAGGGACAACTGGAAATCACAACTGGAAATCAGTGGCTTGTTAAAAACCAGCTGTTTAGATTGGGATTTTAATGGCTTTGCCTAGAGAGATTTAGAGGAAATTATTGACGCACAAACCCTAATAATTTTTTAGCTTGGGGTTTTAATGGCTCTCTCTAGAAAGTCTATAGAGGAATTTGGGGTATTGGGGTTGTGTTTCTATTTAAGAGATTGGGGTTTTAATTCTAGAAAGTCTATAGAGGAATTTGGGGTATTGAGGTTGTGTTTCTATTTAAGAGATTGGTCAGTGTGGAAAGTTTGTGCTTTTATTGGGAATTTGTGGAGGCTTATCTCTGATGAGTGAGAGGGATGTACTTTTTCTTGTTTCAGTGAAGGGTTCATGGAAAGGGAGGCTGGATATTTTTATAATTTTTTATTGTTCACACTCTTTTGTTTTTCTTTTCCTTATATTATACTATGAGAAAGGATACAACTAGAGAAGTAGAATAGTGATATTTGGTCTTTTTTTCTCCCTGGTTGAGAGAGAGAGAGATCCTTTGAATAGATTCTTAGAAGACCTTGATCTCCGAGGTTTTCATAAGGCAAAAAAATAAAATAATAAATTAGTAATATTTCAAAACGTAGATGCAATGTCGAAAGGAGGAAAAGGACTCATATGTTGGTCTCTAGGTCATTTTTAAGTTAGTCTTTTTTTTAATCTTGATGATCTTCTATTAATGAAAACATATTGATTCAATCATGAAAATAAGAGATTAAACTTCTTTTTCTATTTTTTTTTTTTTTTGGGGGGGGGGAGGAGGAATCTGTTCACTTTGAATAAGAGAATAACCTGTTTCTTGTTTTGCCTTCTATTTTCTGGTTTCTTTCTCATGTTGATATCCTGGGATTGAACATCATATGCCTGTTGATATGTCCCTTACACCTTGTGTCCTTGACACAATCTGGGTTTCTTTGATAGCTTTCAGATTAGCATTTTAATTGGGTTTGATCCTACCACTTTTCTTCTTTTAGTCATCCTTTTATTAATTTTCTGGATTGTAAAGGATTGAGAGGACGAGTGGCGAAGAGGAAGCACGGTGATATAGCCTTAATATTTGGTGTTTACATATTGCTTATTGGTTTACATTTGGGAGAATTTAGGTGTGGCACCAATAGGCGATAAGATGAGATGAAGTAAATTTAGGTGGGCTGGCCATGTGTGATGCTGACCAAGTACAACACCTGTTAGGAAAAAGGCTTTGACAAAGATGACATATTACTTATTGGTTTCTAGTTTTTCCCAGGTTTTTTTGTGTGGCTTTCATCCAACCATATTTTGTTTTCGTACCATGTTTTTTGCTATTCTTTTTTCTTTTTTCTTTTTTTCTTTTTTTTCTTCTTCTTGGGATTGGAAGAAGAACACGAAGAATGATATCATTCAACTGTTTTTTTCTTGTTTTCCTGGGATTGCCATGATATTCCTGCTAAAAAAAAGCGTGCATGGAACTCTACACTACACTGATTTGCATTTCATCTATTAATGCATTCACGTGTTTGGTTATTTGTTGATTTCTTGTGTATACTGTTTAAAGTTTTTACATATAACACCTGCCATCCCCGTATATGAAAATTTATCTTTTAAAATATGGAGTTGATATGATCTTTCCTCCTTTAAAAAATAAAACATGCAATTGGGTTGCAAAATTACTTCGAGGTGGATAGGATTCTGAGAACCGATCCTTCTTCATTTCTTTTTCTTTTTTGAAGATAGGGGCAGTTCTTGAAGAGATGGGCAACCCATCCACTCAGTTACATCTGGGCAGATGAGTTGCCTGTAATATTTATTTTCTTCCTTTCTTCATTCATTAAAATATGAAATCCAAAACCTGTGGGCTCATCTAGGGCTGCTTTGACCTTTTATATCTCAGGAGTCTACACATTTCTTTCCAAATTTGTGTACAAATGATCAGATTGATGTTATGAAGCCTACGGGGGAAAGTTGTGTACAAATGACCAGATTGCTGGTCTCTATGTCATTCTTAAGCTCAGAATTTTTCTTAATCTTGATGATCTTCCATTCATGAAGAGAACACTTTGGTTCAATTATGAAAATAAGAAAATAAACTGTTTATTTTTTTATTCTTAATTTTTTTGGTTTATTTTTTTCATGTTGATAAGCTAGGACTGGAACATCATATGCCTGTTAGTATTTTCCTTACACCATCTGGGTAGGGGTGACAATAGGCAGGGTGATCTGGCCCCGCCCGGCCCTAAAAAATTAGGGCCCAGTCAGGGCCAAAACTGACCCATCTCGACCCAGCCCAGCCCTTATTTTTTTATCTTTTTGCATTGTATTTCTTTATTTTTATCAGGCCAGCCTGGGCCCGGTCCTATTAAGGCCAAGGCCGGGGCTTGGGCAGGGCCCTCAGAGATGGCCTGACCTGTTGCCGGCCCTACATCTGGGTTTCTTCTCTAGGTTTCAGTTTACCATTTTAGTTGGGTTTGATCCTAGTATTTTTCTTCTTTTAGTTTTCCTTTGATCAGTTTTCTGGATTGTAAAGGAATGGCAGGACGAGTAGAAATAGGAAGCATGGGGATATAGCCCTAATATAGTGATGTTTAGGTATTGTTTACTGTTTGCTATTCTTTTTTCCTTTTCAGAATTGGAAGAAAAACACGAAGAATTATATTGTTCAACCAGTTTTTTATTGTTTTCCTGGGATTGCCATGATATTCCAAGTCAATAAAGTTTTTAAGAAGAAAAAAAATTCTCTCAAAAAAAATAAAGCATTCATGAAACTCAATATTACACAGATTTGCATCTCATTTATGTTAATGCATTCATGCGTCTGGTAATTAGTTAACTCTAGTATATATTGTTGAAACATAAAAAAGTTTTTACCTGCCATCCCTGTATATGAAAAAATATCTTTTAAATATAGAGTTCATGTGGTCTTTCCTCTCTTAAAAAAATAAAACATGCAATTGAGTTGCCAAATTACTTCCAGGTAGATAGGATTCTGAGAACCTACCCTTTTCCATTTTTATTTCTTTTTTTGAAGATAAGGGCCCTTCTTGAAGGGCTGGGCAACCCATCCAATCATTTGCCTTTGGGCAGATGAGTTGCCTGTAATATTTGTTTTCTTCCTTTTTTCCATTTATTAAAATATGATATCCAAAAGCTGTGGACTCCAACTCGTCTATTGCTGCTTGACCTTTTGTGCCTCGGAAGTCCCACACTTTTCTCTCCAAATTTGTGTACAAATGATCAGATTGATGTTATGAAGCCTATGACGGAAACCTATTGCTTGAGCATCATGTGTGTTTCTGTAATACCTTCAGATTGATTGAACCCAAGGAGTATATGTACAGTCTTTTGTATATCTTCATACATGTACATCACACATGCAGGCACATGCACACACACACAAACAGACAAAACACAGCCCTTGTGTATGTTAACTTCACAATCTATTATGTGACTTATTTTCTTTGTGCCATATGGATATGGTTCTGGTGTGCTGTTTGCTTGAACATTTTATCTGTCATGGCAATATAATGCAGCATACACAACATAAGTACCATGAGATTATATCTGGCTACGGAATGTATGCTTATGTGTAGGGCACTGTAGTTTATGGGCATGTACTACTCGCCTTGGACATAGGTTCTGTTGGATAAGCGTGAGGATGACATTGGTAAGGATGTATTTTACGAGTGGAGTTTTAGGGGAAATAGGTCTTGCACTGATGCCCTTCTAGGTTGGAGGTAAGGCTTTTGAAGGAACTTCAGCTCTGTAGGCTAGTGATATTGGATAAGATTAAACAAGGTATTTGTTTAGCAGTAAAAGAGAGGAGATTTAACATGGAGACTTAAGACCATCTAAGGCCTTTGATAAAGTGGGTTGCAAGCTTTGTAAAAGTTAGAATGGTTAAGATAAAGTGGGTTGTAGCACAAGGAATATTGTGGCCTTGGCTGTCAGGTAGTTAAAGGAAGTCAAATTGGATGGGAAGTGAATGAGGACGTTTGTTGATATGACGAGTCTTATTGGTTGAGGGAGAAGAGGAAGTTGGAGGTCAGGTTGTTGTGTTATGGTGTATGATGATGGACTTGCTATGATGCAGTTCTATCCATGGTGTGATGGGTGATTGGTCTTGTTCCAGGTGTGGTGGACATTGAATTGCTGGCGTGAGATCTGGGTTTGCAAGGGTGTTGTGGCCAGAGTTGTGTGGGATGGTCCCAGCGTGAGATCTGCAGTTCCCACATGTGGGTACTCTTGAGTGTGTGAGTGGGTGGGGGGTGGGGGTTGGGAGTGGGAGAGAGAGTATCTCTCTTAGATACTTTATGCATGACATTTGTATCATCATAATCTCAAATGGTCAAACCAGCTGAAATCAGATCGCTCACCTACTTTATTAACACCTGAAAAACCGAACTTTGCAGATTTCCTAAACATGCCGAAGAACAAGGGTAAGGGAGGTAAAAACCGAAAGCGAGGAAAGAATGAGGCCGATGATGAGAAGCGAGAGCTTGTGTTCAAAGAGGACGGCCAAGAATATGCTCAGGTCCTTCGCATGCTCGGCAATGGTCGCTGCGAGGCCATGTGTATCGATGGCACCAAGCGTCTGTGCCACATTCGAGGGAAAATGCACAAGAAGGTTTGGATTGCAGCTGGTGATATCATCCTTGTGGGCCTAAGAGACTACCAAGATGATAAAGCCGATGTCATTCTCAAATACATGCCTGATGAGGCTCGTCTCCTCAAGGCCTATGGTGAGCTTCCTGAGAACACTCGACTCAATGAGGGTATAGCAGCTGGGCTCGATGAAGAAGACGAGGGTGCAGGTGATGATTACATTGAGTTCGAGGATGAGGACATCGACAAGATATGACTCTCTCTCTTTAAAATGGTATGGATAATGCTGCCATACACCACTTTGACAAGATATGAACCATCGTTTAATGAGATGAGTGCTTTCACCCCCCAAATTGATAGGATATGAGTTGTTCTCTAAATGTTATGAATGCTAGCCCTCACTTGTACTATGGGCCTTTTTTCTCTTTTCTTTTTGGAGATTCTATTGTTGAGATATAGATGGATAAGATTCTGTAATCCTTGGTGATTTATATGGGTGGTGATGTTGGCAATAGGTTTCGATTCATTGTGATAATAAGTTTATTGTGCTGTAATTCTTTTCCTTTTACTTGTTTGCTTCGGTTTTTGTCGCTCTTGCTTTATATATACGTGTGGAATGTGTTTTTGTTCGTGATTTTGTGGTTTGATTTGTTGTGACAATAAGCTTTGGGGATTGGGATACCCACCCTCTGTTTTTGCTATTCCTCCTTGAAAACATGGGTAAGAATAGGTTGATTTGCCACACAAAACATGGGAGGGAGTAGCACAAAATTTTGGTTTGAAAGCGTATGGTCTTTTCTTTTCTTCAATGGGAAGGTGATCCAAGAAAAAGTTTGGCACTGGTGATTGTTTTCTTGTTTGGGGGAATTGCAATTGGATTAAAGAGACCTAGCAGCCACAACTTCGGTCTGGTTTTGAAACTTCTCTCTCTGTCTTTCTCAAAATCAACTTTGGGTGCAAGAGCCCGCTGACTCTTCAACGTCCATCTTTAACATAGACATTGTGTCAAGCGCACAATGTCAAATATACAGACAATGCCAAAAATATTTCCAAGTAAAACATATTTTAAAGTTCCATTTTTCTTTTTCATGATGGTTTAGATGATGAAGCTTTAAAATTTTGGATCAAAATCCATCTTTAAGGTGAATTTTTTAAGGGGGCCGCTCGAATACATATGACTGACTTATAGAAACCCAAATCATGTTTTAATGGTGGAATTTTGCCCGTACCAAAATAGTTTCCAATCATTATATTGATGGTAAGCGAAGTATGATCCAAGCATATTTGCTACCAATAGTGGGTTTTCACGTGAGATGTTACTCTTTCTCTCGCTCCCTCTCTCTCTCTCTCTCTCTAAGGTCGATTTTCTTGGTGTCCTACCATTTCAAATATCTTATTTAAAATTACGTTGGTTTTTTAGTAAGAGACGGACATTGTGTTGTAGCGATCTGTTTGTGCCTGAAAACAGTAAAATTGGAGTTTCTACTTGGTTACCCAACAAATTTTGCCCCATTTCACCCACTCCAACAAATTCATCGTCCACAAACATTTATGGGAGATCAATCACCATCCATAAGAATGTGAGTGAGAGAGAGTATTGACCTTGTCAAAAAAAGGAGAGAGTATTAAGGTGTATATTAAACACATGACCAACTTGTCATGCATACATCGAACAACACACTATCGTATAATATCCCGTCGCTTGGCAATTTCCAACGCTACATCCTAGGCTCAATTCCTGCGACGGGACTGGTAGGGGCCTCTACCCACCGACTCACCAAAAAAAACTAATTGTGTTAATGGAGGAGGTGGGACAATAGTGTTATTTTGTTTCGGACCCGGTTTCAATGTGGTCAAAGCCCATGTATGTAGAAATGCAGGCCTATTAATACATCTATTTTTTAAAAAAAATGAAATAATAATTCTAGTAAGAAAACATTTGGACTGTTAATTTCCATTATTCCATTATGTTTAGATTGGAACACCTACTTGCATCCATCTTCAATATGGATGCTTTACACTTTTTGGACCATCTTTAATATGGATGCTTTACACTTTTTGGACCGTATATGTAGTCATACGGTCCAGCTCGCATGAAACAATTTTCCTTTTGTTTACTTATCGATTATTTTCCTCCTTTCCCTTTCTTGTATTCTTATTTTTCATTGTTTTCCTCTATTTTTTTTCTCCTCTTTCGCTACTCCTTTTTCCACCCTCCTTTCTATTTTCTTACATCCTTCTTTCTACTTCATTCATTCTATTTTCCCTTTCTCCTCTCTCTCTCCTTCCCATCTCTCCCGGACCCCTTCATGATCCCTTTTTTTCCTTTTCTGTTTAGCTCCTTTGGTTTTCCTTTCTTTTCCTCTCTGCTTCTCGCTCTCTCTCTCTCTTTCTCTCTCTCATTATTCGCTTTGCTCATCATGTACACTTTTACGTCTTCGCATTTCAAAAATAAGGGCAATGTCAGTGTTTGGGGAGACAGTCACTCTCATGGCTCACAAAGTGAAATCAAAGCACAAGATCTTCCCTTTTCCCTGACACATCTTTCTTCATGTCGCATTTTCTGTGGTATATTATGTTATGATAACCAGAAAAATCGAGGGACAACTTAAACGCAGCTCCACACGCCTGGATGAAACTCAATATGGAAATTGACATAAACACTTGCGGCAGCCAATCACGTTTTAAATGCAGCAAAATCAAACAGGTTAGTGGGCCAGTAAATTAGTTTTAGAAGCAGAGTTTATGCAAGATTCAATCTGCTCAGAATATAAATCATTTTGCTCATGGCTACTTTTAGCCATAGCTCATGGGATAAAACTTGTCATAAAGCACAACATTCAGCTGTGTTAAATACAAGAGGCTCAAGATAAACACTCAATACATAACAAAACAACATACATGAGCCACCTTTTGGCTCCTTGACAAGCACTTCCTTCCCTCTTTCTGGGCTGTGATTAAAAAGCCCAAACCTAAGAAACCAAAAAGGCCATCACCCACATCCTCAACTTTCAAGGATGCATGGGTAAAGAAACCCTATGTGCTAAATTTCATGCACTTCAAAATTCTAATGCTAATTCTAATGCTAACCCTAGCCCTAACCCTAACTTTACATACATTTTTAACTTCTTCATAAAGTTACATTATGGGTTTCATGTGAAATCCTAGGAGAAGTACCTAAATCTCCGAACCCACCATGGCTTGATCTCTCCAAAACCCGTGCATTGGTCTTCGCCTTCTTCCTCATTACTGAACAAAGTTTGATCTGAGCAATCAAGGCCAGCCCCACAAGCTGCGTTGTACGATCGGCAAGCTGAATGGCAAACACGAAGGCGGTTGTCACCATCTTTGTCACACCTTTGAATGGATATCTGCGTAAAGGGCAAAAAAAAATGAGTTACCATATACAGTACTCCAAGGCTATATATCCATGTCATAATGATGGATGGTTGGAGATGGACTGAGTGGGGCCAATGGGGGACCACTCACAGAGATAAAATTATTTTCTGTCCAACAGTGAGAGGGAGCACATGATGGAGCTAGCTTGCATTTAGTGTACACTAAAATCAAACATTTAACAGTGTGTATAGAAAAGAGAGGAAAGGTAGAATAATTCGATCAATCATAACAAGGGGATAAATTTTGGTTTTAGGGTCTCTCTAACACCAATTGAAATGCCTTGCACCAAAGCGATAAAGAAAGATGTAGGTCAAGAACAAAAAATACAAAATTCCTGACAGAAGGTTTGCAAAGTACAAACGAATAAGAATATCGGAAATAAATATTCAAGTAATAGTTCCAAATGAGGACCCCGTATTTATTAAAATTGCGCGAAAAAACTGAAGATTGTCATTTCCCAAAGTATACAAGTGTATTCTTATGAGTTCACCAACAAATTTATGTTGTGCATAAGCGCAGAGAGTACTGTGCTATTCATGAATGCATAATCAGAGAGAGAGATTACCATCATAATGGAAAGAAAAGGGGTGAATGAGAGAGAAAGAGAGCACTAACCCAACATGCTAGCCGCTTTGCAGCTGAAGCACAGTACCCATTGTCAAGGATGCTGAAAATCGTGTGACCGTTAGGTATCAACCGGTTATAATTGGGGATAACAACAGCAGCTTCAAGCTGTTGTAATATGCTTGGTTCGCTAGGTGCACAATGTTGGCCCATTGCATCACGAGCAAGAACATCCCCGCACACTGTAAGGCTTGGAAACAACGTTGATGTATTCTGGCACGTGTAACCAGCATAGTCAGAGCACCGAAACTCACATACACCATTGTCACATACACCACCGTGCAAGCTACATTGCTCATCACAAACCGCTGCATATTCCAAAGATAAAGATCGGTGACAATTACAAATGTCAACAACCATTATATGCTATAATAAATAAGGGGCTGTATACCATAACACAATAGAATATGGAAAAATCATTCCATCGCTTCAGCACCCTCCATTTATCTGATGGCCAGTGATGGACATAAAATGGATCCCACTATCAGGGGCATTGCTTTTTCCACTGGCTGCAACTCCCTCTCTATCATGAACACGTTTCAAATACCTATGGGCTTTTTACAGTCCATTGGATTATAATATGCGTCCCCCACAAATAATACATGCTTTCTATTGCACTCTTTAAAATACAAAATATGTTTAGCAAAACTAATAAAATGATGATCTGGCTGACATTGTATATCATGATACATAATTCTATTCCATTTTCTTGTGGAAAAGCAATATTTACTGGGCAAGAATGACATATTTAATAGCCCAGTATGAAGCCCGTTCAGTTCTGGCCATTCCCTATGAAATGTATGAGTTCAATTTCTAGGTTTACACATAAAAGAAGGAGATGTGTGTGTAAGACAGAGAGAGAGAGAGAGAACAGCCAGGGAGTTTGTGTATACTTGAAGAACTCCTCAATTAACACCACCATTAACCAGATGAGCAAGTGCCACAAATGAAATGGGATTTGCAGAATATAGGATTGATTAACGATTGCATACCAGTTGAGCAGTCAATGCCAGTGTGCCCATCTTCACATTCACAGACCCCATTAGAGTTACACTTTCCATGGCCATTACAGTCACCAGGGCAGGTTCCTGGAAATAATAAAGAAGGGAACTTCACTAAGGTTACTAAAAATGGAAGCCAGAAAAGCAATACTTAATTTTCTCTGTCCTGACAGATCTAGTACTTGAACCTCATTATTCATTTTTTTTATACATCTTTCGGGTATACTATAACCAAAATACCATGGAAAACCGTAGTACGTTGGGTTCAACTTCATCATTACCATCCAACAAATGATGCCTTGTGATGTAAATGGGGAGTGAACCACCAGAACAAGACATCAATGGAGATTGTAAATTCGACTTACGCTGACTGCAGTCGTGGCCATGAAAACCAAGAAAGCACCGACACTTCCCATCAATACAATCACCATTATAGCGGCATGATCCAGGGCATTGGCCATTAATGGATATTGGTGCATCACTAATGCTACATAGTTCATGATATGCAGGGCAAATAAGTTCTCCTGCAGATAGAAGATAATAAAAATTAGAAACTGCAGAAGGCTTGTTTCTCTTTTCATGAGCCCTCATCATCCAATGTATTCAGTTTTAACTTGCAATCCTCAGACAAAAACAAAATACTCTTACCATTAAAACCCAGAAATTGCACTGGTCCACCACCTTCAGGGCACACCTTCCAGATCCCGTCCACAGCAACCTAAACAAGGAATAAACCGAATGACGGCCATGGACAAATAATACTCTAAAGTTTGGCTTCTCTTATTTTATTTTAACTTCTCATATTATAAAGGAAACCACACTTTGGACCCCTCTGGTGCATGATGAGAAAAGAAGAAAGGTTTAGCATTAAAAATTTCAAAAACCTCTCTCATCTTTCTTCTCAAGAGAGACAAAACATCCAAGATACATACAGGTTGTAATAACCTAGTCTATATGACAATATTTTAAGCTGATATACATGAAAAGTTTTTCTTTTGGCAGGATTTCAATTTCTAGGTATGTCTTTTTGTGCATGTCCTTAAACTTGGTTTAAAAGTAAGTGTCTATTTGCTTATTCAATAATTTCCCATATAATCAACATGTATCAGAAGTATTTTAGGATGTATAATAGCATTACCGCATGCCAGTCATGTAGTTTTAATTCACATCTGATGAATTAATGATCAACAACTATGGCAGGAAGAAACAGAGCAGTAAAAGTACCTCTAGTTTGTTCTTTATGCATCGATGTTGATAACAACCATTTCCTTGCGTCGTTGAGCCTCGAACAAACCCCGTACGCACCAAGGATGAAGTCATACATCTGGAACACAGTACACAGGATATGTGGATAAGGGTTTTCATCAACTTTCATTTACATCTGCACTTAATACAAGCATGATAAATAATTAAATATATAACTTAGTTTCCAGTTGTTACAGTGATTTTCCAAGAACCTTGATGAAGCTGCAAATTTCAGTTTGGGATTCTCAAAGAATCATTTTGTTTATGGTCCCATTTGGTGGTGCTCACTGTGACGATCTTGAAATGATATTTGATTCTGTTGATGTCTTATTGATTCTGTTGGTTACTTTTTTCTAAATAAAAAGATGACAAGCCAGTGTCTGGAACACCTGCATTTGTCATGCTGTTCCAGAGATTTGAGTCAATGGTTCGGATTTATAAATTGCCAGATGGCTTTGTACTGGTTCAAAAGAAACCGTCGAATTTTTTTTGTGATAAATTTGCCTTGATCTGGTGTTTCAGAAAATACAAAAAAAAAAAAAATTAAAAAAAACGTGAACATCCAAAATTATCATGTTCACTCAGGTTTTATAATTTCTCTTCAAACTTTTGCCCCATAGTCTGGGGCTTAAAATCACCACACCAGAGGCGAAACTTGTAACTTCATTCACTCCAGGAAGCTTCCTGGTTTATATAATTCCCTTGGTTTCCTGAAGAGCAGATATCAAATGCAGGTCTCTAGGCATCGATTTGTCATTTTCCCAAGATGAACAAAAGTTTCGAAATGAGTTTATCTAATTCTAAAAAAAAAAAAAAAGAAAAATTGCTACCCCTCTCACCTAGAGCTGGCCCCTCGCACTTCACCTAACATTCTGTCAGGTGCCCGCGCACTGTTTGTGTCCGTACATGAACCATCAGAATAAGCCACAAAATATGTACAATAATCAGCCAATGAAGACTGTCCACCTGAAGTCATCAAGAAAAGCCATCCATAAACACCCAACGATAGGGACATGAGCAAGAATATCACAATCCAATGGTGTAGTACCCCAATAGAATGACCCATTTGGGTAGTCAAAGGAATAGCAGCCCAACATTATTCCAATGGAATATAAAATGAGTTCAACAACTGCTAAACATATTGGTATGAACCAGTGTTTGCAAAATCGAATCAGAACAGTTAACCGGACATGGGCTTGGAAGCGGTTTAACCCGCCTAACCGATAAACCGACCGATCTAACCGCTTTAACCGGACAAGTCCAGGGCGGTAAAAAAGATGTTGAAAAAAATTAAATAAAAATACAAAAAAAATCTCCTAAAATATAAAAAGCATATAAAGAATGATTAAAACAAAACACATTCAAATGAAGTTGAAAATTAATGAGAAAAATGGATTTTAACTCATTTTATATTTTCCAAGGGCTATTTTTTAAATTTTCTAAAAAAGATGGGAAAATATAAAAGTGAGTATTAGTGACCAAAACAATTTTTAATCTTTACCATAATGTAAAGAATATTTAAAAATGCATTACAAATCAAATTCCTTATTTTTGAGAATTTATATATTTTTTTTTTATTTTTTATTTTTTTTAAAATGCCGGTTGATCACCCTAACCGCCCAAACCGGAACCGGCTCCGATCTAACCGGACGGTTAGCGGTTAGATCGGGCGATTTTGCAAACAATGGTATGGACAAATGGATGATACTGGAAATTAAATGCACAAATAACTTAAAGAAATTGGAAAGTTTACTTATATTCCACAGGACAATAAAGAACCATACAGTCCATTAAGGTCATCACAATCTGAAAAAAAAAAAAAAATGGTGATTGACAAAAAAGAATCACCCCCAACTTGTGGTCCCACTGTCAATCACCATCCATCGGTTTATCGTGACAAACCTATTAGACACTGACTCTCCATGGTCTATCAAACAATTGTATACTTTCCGTTTAGGTAAAGGATGGTCAAGGACTCGGAAGAAAACTACCTTTGTTAGATTGCGGGAAATAGCGAGCCCACTGAGGAAGGTCTCCGCTATAGCTCACAATGGGGCAGTAACCCTCTGCCTCCCTATTATAAGTACAACCAGATAATTGTGTTGTGTTGCACCGGTATGCCCCCTTCCAAAGATTGCAAGGTGATGTAACAAACTCAGTTCCTTGATTTCGACCCCAATCAAGATGTTCTGCCATGCTGTAGTTTGCCCTATACCAACCACTATCCTCCAACAAAGCAAGAGTCATTTTTGAGACCACTGATCTTGTATCCACAGACCCAGTCATGATTTCGTTCATCAAAAGTCTTTTCTCCCAATGAGAACCTGAATTACAATTTTAGGTCAAACAAAAGGCTCATGAAAGCTATCCAAATACGACAGCCAATATCAAGGTCCCAAAGACAAATATTTTTCAGTTTGAACAGGTAAACCAATAAAGAGAAACAGCCATAAAAACAAACACCTGATGTACCCCTCCCTCCTCCGTCTTCCAGCTCTAAGCCAGTGAAGTTCTCAGAGAAGGCCTGATGCAAAAAATTTGAACTATGAAAATTTGCTTTTGAAATAAGAAAAAGCTCCTAAAGCAAACGTTATTCATTTTCCAACACATAATATGACCACTAAATGAAATTTCCATCAGTCTATGAAAAAGACAAGATAATATTTTTTCCTTGGATGCCAACTTAAGGTTTTTCTTTAATAGTATCAATTTCTACTAAAATAAGCAAAAACCACATTACCCCATAATGATATCTCGAATGCATGACAACACGTGGAAGGACCACACGGGTCACCATCCGTCCAAGCTTTTCATCCACACTCTGTGAAGTGACCTGCACAGAAAGAATGCTTGCTACAACTTTTCTTTGACCACAAAATTCTTAAAAAAAAATTGAATAAAGAACGAACCAAACTATGATGAACTGAAAACACATAAACAACCTGGTTGCGCCTCCGTTTCCTCTCATCACGAAAATGTGCAAAGGCATGAGGATCAAAACCTAAAACATGCATGACCTGTGTAAGATACAGGTTTTGACCATTAGTCCAAAGAAGTTCTGGTATATCCTCTACCGAGGTTTTGGATAATGCAGATACAAACTACTCACAATTCCACATTGAAAAACACCAACCTCATGTATCAATGTTGCTGAAAGAAGAGTTTCTGCTTCAGCAGTAAGGTGACGAGGGGCTACATTCACATGTCCTAATCACACAATACGAGATGATCAATGAGTACTTACATGAAATTAGGTGAAGTATGCCATGCCCCAATGGACCGAAAAACCATAATGAGCTGGGGGCAGTACAGTCCAATGAAATTAGAGAAAGAGAGAGACCCCAAATTGGGGTCCATTCTATGACAGTATCATTTCATCAGAGGTCGATGATCACAACAGCTCTATAGATTTCCATATCTGTAGGGTTTATAGTAACTTTTCCACATGACTCAATGTTCAAGTACTTGCAAACAAAAGCATACTCTAAACAGACACTGTACCAGCAATTGCACGACCCCACTGATCGCGTTCACAGGCCACTGCCCAGGCAAGCGTATTGCCCGTTGTTGGTCTTGTGGTTACCAAGAGTACAAGGTCAGCATCAGCCACACCCTCTGCAGAGAAGAAGTACGACCTTATAACATTCATTATAACATTAAAATATCAGAACAATACTTAACCTTATATACCAAAAACAAACAGAAATCGTATTTTTGTAACTAGCGTCTTCTATGAACCTCATAAGGCATTATGAACGGAAAACCATAAGGCAATTTCCATATCATTTATACCTTCAACATATTCTCGAGGAAGTTGTACCCCGCCATCTTGGCCACAAGCAGAGTACCCACTTAACCGGAGTTGTCCCTTCACAGGCTCCACTGCTAGTGCCCTTCTGAACCAATCTGCTGTTTGCCCTAGAGCCTGCCCAGAGGTCAAATAAATGGATTAAGATCTGGAAAAAAAAATCAACCGCTGCACTTAAGCAATTCATGAGCAAAAACAGGATCGACAAGATTCTCACCACTTATCAAAGAATTTCATCTCTAGCATAATCATTCACAAAGCATTTTTCAATGAACTTCTAAATCCATAATCACTCATCCACTAAAACAGAGGTACGACAGGCATTACATGGTATTCTTACCCATGTGAGGGCCTCATGCAGGATATAGGCAAAGCAGACATGTACATAAGGAGGCAACACTGTAACTGATAAGTTAGCTACTATGGGTGTATATCTCAGGAATAAAAGTGCCAACATATTCTGTCTCAAATATCATTGATGCTTAGCGCTTAATATCCAAAAAACAATGGAAGGGCAGACACCATGTCCTCAATGACTTGCCAACGCTTGGAAAGGACCAATGGTCCTCATGTCTTTGAGCATCCATGGTAGTTAACTATAGCCAAGCAGAGGATGGTGCCTGACCTTAACTGTCAAGCAGAGCCTGAGAGAGACCTTGGGTAAGCCCTCAAGATTCCTCAACTAAAAACAATATAAGTACTCGCCCTTGGTGAAAGTGCGGTTGTCTGAGACTCAAGATCCATAACAAGAACACATGTATTTCCAGCATAAAATATTATTCTCATTCAACTTGGTTTCATGAACCATTGTGGAAAGTTCAGAATGGTAGCCACCTTAAGACCCATACCCGATGGAGGTGTCTTATGAGAGACTTTAAGTGTTTTGGCGTCCTTCTGTGGATCCAACTCCTGTGGGAATCTACTTTGGTGAGAACCTACTTCTGCTGGAACTGACTTATGCAGGAACATACTTCAGTTGCACCTAATTTGGTGGGAACTTATTTTGGAAAGAACATACTTTAGTGAGAAACTGAGAATATACTCCAGAGTGAGCCAACTCCAATCATAAACCTAGAAAGATTGATCTTCCTAAGTTTCTCTTAACCAAAATAAGAATCAGTTTCCAATGTACATGAATACCATGTTTTTTAGTCATTGTAAAAAGAAAAATGCCTCTGATAAGCTGGTCTAGAACTGGTCATCCCTTGCAAGTGAGTCAATAACTACTGGAATGGTAAGAGGAGGGATGTACAGGAAAGGAGTCACTAGCATGAAGCAAGGGGAGGTCACATGTCCCTTGGATGGAGCAAGGAGGACCACATGTCTTGCCTCCAGGTTCCAAAGGGAAGCAAAAGGGACCTTCTGGAAGTTAAATAGTCTCAAGGACTCAAGCCAAGGAGAGTTGTATCTTAGTCTGGGAACTCTTAGTTAACCACCGGATAGAGAGAGAGTAATGACCTTAAGTCTAGATGGGTTCGGCCTTGAACGTCCCCTTGTGTGGACTTGAGACACTAGAAGGACTCCAGGACTGTCCAATGGCACGATAGTGTTGGTTTCTCACTCAAACCTCAGAGTTGTCTTTTGTGCTACAGTTCGTAGGTCTGTAGAAAACACTAACTTGATCAGGGTGGTTGTTGATGATGGTACATCAGATTGCAGTGAAATTTTAAAACACTGTAAGGACCTTAAATCTAGTTTATGTATACAAAAATTTCAGCTCGAAACTATTTGTAAACATTGAAATATTAATGTAAATGTGATTGCTGCCAGTGTAAACTTGCAACTTTCAGCAGTCTCGTGCTCTCTCTTGACTCTATTACAGAGTATACTGACAACACTTAAAAGAGTACCACCATGGTCCTAAATCATGCATAGAAGTATTGCACTGCAGCATTTATCAAGGAACTATTTAATAGCTTCCAACATGCTTGCTACCAATAAGCAACAATGGTTTTAAGCCACTCACAAATGCATAAGCATATCGAGCTCTACACTCACATCATGGGAACCTATTGTTAGTGAAAACCCATTTAAGATAAAGGCTGCTATCACAATTAACAAGCTAAATAATTGAATCTCACCACCTCAAAAAGACAATGTTTTAGAACTGTTGCAAACTTGCAAGGAGATCAAGCAGCGAAACCGTTTACACTTAATAAGGGCAATGGGACACTTATTGCATATTACACGATGCTCTCAAAATCCTTCCTAGGTAAATCCCACAAACCAATTTATGTACGCGCAGATGTACATACATACACGAAGTTCACAACATGAATGTCCCAGAAATTAAAATGTATAGACTTCTCATATTTCCAAAAAACTTTGCAGGAGAAAAGGGCCTTTTCTTTTATGTGGATGATTACAAGTGCTACATAGCTTATAACTTGATTCCCATGTATTACCATTTTTAGACTTTGATATACCTAAATTTAGTAGAACAGGAAGGAAAGAATTGTATTTTATTCATTCTTGTGAAATATCAATAAGCACATTCAACAAGAAATTCCAAAATGGCAAGTGATTGAACAGGTGACTTGTATGCAGAAATTTGAAAAAAAGATATTTTGCGTGTGTGTTTGTATTGAGAGATAGAGAGAGACAGAACTCATAATTAGTTATAAGGACTCCCAATCTCAATACTAAGACAGTAAGACAATAGATCTGAATCCCTATTTATCCTATTCAAACAATAAATTAGCAAACAGTTAGACATTCTTATTGGTCAATAAAGCATATGAGCAGAAATGTAAAACCTTTCGAAGCCTATGCTTCTTATCGTCCCCAGATATATCTTCTGCAGTGCAATTGTACCAGCAATCACCAAAAACTGGAGGATCTGCATGAGGATTGCAAACAGGCGTGCCAGGAACTGACGGTACTGGAGGCTCACCAAGCTGCAAAGGAGAAAATATATACATATATTCATCAAACACCCGAAATTATGAAATTAGCAAAAAGCAACCCAAACGATAAACTGTACAACATTAAAAACAGATCCAAATTCACAACAATCTGTAGAAACTTTAGTTAAGATGAAACACACCTTCACAATGTCACCAATGCCTCGACAATCTCGATCAGAAGAATGTCCAACTGCATCATAGTTCAAGTATATCCTTATCGGTTGTCTCACTTCTTGTTGGGATTGAGAAGTCCCCAACAAGCTCCGACCTTTTCTATGGATTTCGTGGATACTCGACTCCTTATATACTTGAGGAGTTACCGTATACTCCTTGCGACCAGGGCGACGCCTCTGATGCAATATCTCATCATGGATGCACGAATGGGTTAACCCATCGTTTGTTCCTGACTCCAAGGATGGCCGCTTCACCCACCCATCATCAGAGTAGGAGTGAACGGTCACTATCAAGATCACTAATAGTACCTGAAGCAAACGTATAAAAAAAAATTAATCATCAAGCATATTCAGAGGGAACCCCTAAAATCAGTCCAATAACAAACTCCGCAAGAAGGAAAACAAGGAGCAAGAAAAGGACATGACCAAAACAACTCGATGGTAATTTGAAACTCAACGTAAACAAAGATGATTTTTTTAAAAAAACCAATTGCTTCAAGGAAGATGATTGAAAAAGGATTTTAATTCATTCAACTGAAACTATCAAAACAAGCGTAATATCAGAGTATGTCCCATGTAAGAAACACCTACATTGCAATAAGACCACATCTGTGTATCAGTTAAATGCAGTGTACCGACATAACCCACGCATAAAAATCGCTAAATACGGAACCCAATCAATACACAGACGTAAGCCAGCAGAGTGACCTTGATTTAAAACAAACATCCATAAAAAAGATGTCACATTATACAACAAATGAAAGACAGCATTTTTTTTAATTCCAGTCAAAAACTTGAGACTGCAATCACAGGTGAGCCATTGGAGCAAATGGCAAAACTCTTAAGAAACCAACTGATACCACAATCCAAAAAAAATGCTAATCTCAATTGCAAAACCCACAAAATCTAATCAAGGTGAAAAATCTATATGGGGAAAAAAAACATCATCTAGAGAAAAAACCAAATTAGAGCAGAATCCTCACAATGTAATAACACCAGGAATCAAGTAACACTCAGATCGACTTGTTCAAAAGCAATAGCAGCCAATCCTACCAAAAAATCATATAGAATAGAAAAGATACCAAGATGAGAAAGAGAACAACTAATATCTTTCAGACCATAAAACCTCCACTCCAATGCGAACACGAGAAAGCATTGCGCTTTGAATGCATTCCCTTATAACACAGTACTGTGACTGCAAATCCTAAAAGATGAGCCTATAGAAAACTATGCAAACATTCAGATCACTAACAGTAGCAGTATCTACAGAATCAACAAAAAAACAGCCAATAAAGAGAGAACAGAGAAAATGGGCCATTTCATGATTCCAGTCCAAATGTTCATATAACCGCCAACATTTTGAATGAAAACAAATAACGGAAAGGAGAAGCGGTAGCTTGAGATACACCTACCACTACCAGAGAACCAATTACCACCCCAGGCAATTACAAATTCAATAACAAGGCCCACATTTTCTGAGTAAATGTAGTGAAGCAGGGGATCAATACCAGTAAATCCAAATCAATCAACCTAACAAAATTCAAGCTTGCAAAACCCTGTTTTTCACATCACAGCTCCCGACAATGACTTTACAGGATCAAATACCAGAGTAAGAAAAACAATCAGACAACATGAATGCTTCATATACAACCAAGAAGCTGAACAGGAACCAAAACACCAAAAAAAAAAAAAAAAGATCAATGATAGCCAATAATGTTTTTTATCGAAAATGTTGACAAGTCCCAAACAACACTGAAATGTTCCCTAGATGTATAGAAAATCTATAAAATCAAAACCAGCAAAGCTGAAAACCCCAATTTTCAATTTCTAATCAGAATTTTGCACTGCATCGAGACCATACCTCAACAACAGCTATTGTTGAAACCCAACATTTTAGTTTGATTATCTCGTCCATCAACATCCCTATCAGAGTCCAGCATTTCTGGATGCCCCACGTGTTCCTCCAAACCCCTTTAAAACCTTCATTTTCCGGCAGTTTATCTGCCGGAAAATCACTAGATCTTCGAGAAAATACAGGTACAGCTTTCTTAAGAACAGGTGCGGCAGATAAACTGCCGCAAAAGCCCCAAATCTTCAAAAAACTAAAAAATGGAGGGATGAATGTACAGTGAAACAATTCTTTGTGGAACAGGTGGTTACTGGTAACCCTCTTCACCTATTCCTTTGAAAATTTTCCACACTTTATCACTCCATACTTTCTCTCACCTCTTTGTTATCACTCTGTACTTTTTTAACCGATTTTCTCGTCCCCGAACCTGTACTGTCTTTTATTACTCTCTCTCTCTACCCTCTGCTATTACCTGATCTGCTTCTCCCTACTTGTATGCTATCTCTCTATTACCACACCCACTTTCTCTCTCTTCCCCCTGCCTGGAGCTCACTCTCTCTCTTTCTCCCTCTACTTTATATTTCTTCCCATTTTTCTAGCTCTTACTTTCTCTCTCTTCATTTATTTTTCTCTCGCTAAACCGCGTGGAAGTTTTCTCTCACTAGAGTACGTCCAATCCAGAAAATTTTTTTTAAAAAAATAGCAGCCCGAAAAATCAATTATTACATATCTGCATGTTCCAGAATATACCCTTGTAGTATCAATAATTTGCAAACTGTACCCCTACTATAAATAATTATAAGACCAGGTTACTTAAAAAATAGCGGTAGGCATTTACCGCTAATTTTACCATTTTAAAATCCAAATTTCAAAAAATTATGTGCCATTTTTTATTTGGTGCGGTTTGTATAGAGTCAGGCTCTCAACAATCAAAATAGAGCATACCTTCAAATAGAGTCGAGAAATGTAGTTTCAATACGGGAAATCTTTGTGATAGCCTTAAAATATATTTTCATCTTTAATTATAAATCTTAAAGCTTAAAAAATATGGTAGATTGAACAAGTCTATGAAAATCTTGAAAATTGACGATTGAAAAATGAATTACAATATGTATTATTTTCAAAACTTAAAATCCATTTTTTTTTTAGGTCCATATATCTTGATGTCAAGATAATCGCTTAGAGGATATTTGAGCATCGAAACAACCTCTTCTAGTGAAATTTTTTAGGTGGCCTTTAATTTTATTGTTTAAAGCCTTCGCTCTATATAATTTATTTTTTAAAAAAAAATATATAAATAACCTCATTAAGACTTTCTAGACAAGTTACCCCAACTAAACTTTTTTTTTCTCACTTTTTACCCTGAAATATAATTTCTTAATAAATACCCCTCAACCCAAATAATAAAAAAAAATCTAAATTACCCTCCCTTACTTTTACCCACTCCTCTCTCCTCTTTCCCACAAGAAGCCGGTCCGGCAATATAATGTTGGTCAGGTAAATAATAATGGTGGTTCGGCACTGACAAAAAATGGTCTTATAATAAGCCCATGCGGTCCGGCACTGCCAAAGAGCGGTCTGACGATGTCAAAGAGCGGTCTGGTACTTTTTTTAGTTTGACGGAGTCTGACAATGTCAAAGATCGGTCCGACAAGCTATATAAGGCCACATGAATGTCCGGCCAAAATTAAATTTTTGTGTATGAAAAGTGGTATTTTAGCTAAAAAATTATACATTTTTCTACTTTGGGGTATTTGCTAAAAAAATATATTTTGTCAGAAAAAAGAAAGTCTCGGGTTATTTGTAATTTTTTCATTTTCTTTTTATGTTTGAAATAGTCTAATTGGATTTTTTTTAATATTTTTTTACCGACATGCTATCTAAATTTCAATCTTCTTGGGGTAGATATTCAAATTTCAAAATTACCGTTGTTAGGGTAGATATTCAAATTTCAAAATTACTGTCATAACTAGCCTTCTTTCTGTTTTTTTGGGGTTAGAGTTTGAAATAATCTAATCGATAATTTATTTATTAATTTATAAAATATTTTTCTTGGGGATTAAGGAGGGAGAATATACAAAACTTTAGGATTTCAAAATTCCTATTCCTTAAGGTTTGTGATAAGGTTTAGTATTAGTGTAGTGCAAGGTAGATTAAATTCTTTCTTTTCTTAGCGACAAGTGTTTCCTTAAATTTGGTAATATTAAATGGGGAATTTATTAATATTATTTTGAGGTGAAATTGGTTGGAGATGTCTATTTGACCAACGGCCAACAAAAAAATTCTCTCAAAATTTGTTGCATACTCCTAACTGTCATATTTCATATCTAACAGCGTTGATTGTAACCTTCTTATACAAAAAAATCTTTTCAATAATCATGGTTTTTTATAATGCCAAAAGATTTAATTCCCAAGGGAACATGTTTGGCCATTTACTTCCTTGCGTAAAAGTCAATCTAAGACTATTCTTAGGACCTCAAATTTTGTGGTTGTGACCTTCTCAAACCATAAGCCAAGCACAATAAAATTTTTTTCCGAATCTTATAGCTTTAAAAAAAAAAAGAAAAATTTATATAAAGACTAGGCTCTAAACAATCAAATTAGAGCCCACCTCAAAAATTTCACTAAAAAAAGGTTGATTTGATACTTAAATTTATCATCTTGACATCAAGATGCATGGATATGAGAAAAAATGGATTTCGAGTTTTAGAAATAGTGAGTCTTGTAACATATTTTTGGACCATCGATTTTTCAAGTTTTTATAGACCTACTCGATCTACACTATTTTTTAAGCTTTAAAATTTATAATTAAAGATTAAAATATATTTGAAGGCTATCACAAAAAAAATAGCATTGAAATCATATTTCTCAATACTATTTGAGGGTGGTATCTAATTTGATTGTTTAGAGCCTCGGCTCTACACAAACCGCACCAAAAAAAATGCCTCGAATATAAGCTGTCCAATTTTCTAAGGGTGATGTCTAAGCGCTAGAAAACTCAAATTTCACTTCTTATTTTTTTATTTTAAATGTAATTATCTAATGATTTTTAGGTGATTCACAAATTTTCATATTAAAAGCAAAAATCTTCCCAAATGGGTATTCTGGCAGGGGGAGTGAGTGTACAATTTGCTCCTGCAGTGACATGGAATATGCACTCTTGTACAATATGGATAATTTAAAAATGATATTGGTAGGTTTGGGCTATAATGTGATATTAACAGCATCAACTGCAACAATAATGACAATGGAATGATGGCTAAAATTATTTTAAGTAACCAAAGAAAACAATTATATCACTTGGACACTAGCAGGGTTTAGGTGCGAGGGAGACGCTGCTGTTACAGTGTGCCCACACTTCTAAGCAAATTAATTTTGGATCCAAATATTTAGATGATTGATCATGCCATCATGAATATGGAAAAAATAAAAGAAAAACAAATGCTGAATTTTGAACCATTAACTGGTCTATCTTGTACGTTAATTTGTGGGCCGCTTATTTCATCAAGAGATTATTGGATGCGCACAAGCTCTGAATTCATGAATTTCCAACGGAAATGGATAAACCGTATTGGGGAATGGGTTGGGATTATCACCATCTTTATCATCGTCAATACCTTTTTTCAGTTAATTAGAGTCAGCTATACAAATTTTGATCCATCATTCTATTAATTAATGATAATATCCAATACCCTAACATAAGTAGATTTTATTAATTAATGATAATATCCAATACCCTAACATAAGTAGATTTTATTAATTAATGATAATATCCAATACCCTAACATGAGTAGATACTGTAAGTTCATAATTCGTAATAGGTTCTTAAAAAGTTTTATGTTGGCAACTTATCTAATACAACCCAACTCTTTTACTTAAGCATGAGACAGATTAACGGAAAGTTTAATATCTTCATCCTTCTTAGACCTCGGTTGGGGTTATAAAACTATTAAAAACTAGGGCGAACACATGAGTCAGCTTATTTAACAAAGAATAAAGTTTATATAAGGTGTCAACATTGTCCTATAGAAGTAAGGTGCACATAAAAAATCCCATCGAGAAAGTGTTATGACGTCAAAAAGCCCTACAACTTATCATCTCGATTACGAGATGTGTGGATATGAAAAAAAAAAATTAAAGACATAAAAATAGTGCATCCTGTAACATATTATCCAGATTGTCCATTTTCAAAATATATAAGTTTGTATAGATATGATTGATGTACACCATTTTTGGAACTTTAAATTACATAATTAGGAGTGATACCATATTCTTAGGCCATTTCTAAAACCAGAACTACATCTTTTAGTAAGATTTAGAGGTGTGCCTTATTTTGATCATCTAAGGTTAATGTCTTATGGAAACCTCACATCTTAAAACATTTTATGTGAACAAATCGCATAGTTAATGATGTTCCCTGCGTTCACTATTCGATTTGTTTATAAAAAAATGTTTAATATTAACTAATTAATGCACTTTTTATCAGACTTAAATTTATTTATTTATTATATTCATACATCTTGATGTCGAGATGACCAATTAGAAGGTTTTACATCATCAAATTCTAATGATAGATTTTCGAGGTGCACGTTTAATTCTACAGTGCAATTTTATATAAACTATTTCCTATTCATATTTCCACCCCCAACGAACTACATTACACACATTTATGGAACAAGTAAGGTTGACATTTTGCATCAAGACTAATCAACACGCAGTATTAATTTAGGCTTGTGATCAATGGCTAAGATTTGAAGGGCTGCCGGACCACCGTACAAAATTTATTAAAGCGTCTGACATCTAGGGCAAGTGGGTGGTGTGGATGGGCTGCCAAATGTACTCAACCAGGTCTCTCTTGCGCATGCATCTTTTTAAAAACAAGAAACCAAAAACTAGCATTAGGCTTTAGTTTCTTTAGTTTTACCCTTTGATATTTTTGTAAATACGCCTAATAACTTGTGGAATGTAAAATCTCCCATATTTCATATTTTTTTGCTCACTTCTCAATTATTTGTAATTTCTTAAATTTTCTCAAAATACCTTCTATTCAATCTTTCGAGTTTTTAATTGAGATTTTTTTTTTTTTCTTATGGACTAATAGCTCATAACCAGAACAATTTGTTCACTGTAAAAAGAGACAAGTGACTCGGATGAGAGAACAATTTGTTCACTCTAAAAAGAGACAAGTGACCTGGTCAGAACTTCATTATCCGAACTAGTGCACTTTCCTTTTTTTTACTAGTGAAATACAGGTTCGCAAATCTCTCACCTAAGAATAAATTATTGGCTTTGAATTTTAAAATACTTGGGTTGTTTTGAAAAATTACAAAATTACAAAAAGGATAAATGAGGTAATATATGGAAATTTAAGAACATTTATATTATTTCAAATTATTGGAGATATTTTAACAAAATTAAAATTTTATTTTTTTTCCTCTTGCTCTTAAATCAAGTATGAGATCGTACATGAGAGAGAGACTAGTGTGGAAGAATGATTAAGAGAGACAAACCAATTTTAGATGAGAGAGATAAGGGTTAGAGAGAGAAAGTAAGATAAGATG